ATTTAAAATTTTTTCTAAAATTCTAGTCAAAACTGAGGAAGTTTGATCGGCATGTATCCCGTAATGACTTCCTTCCACGGACCGAGCGAGTATACAGTACCAGTAGTAATAACACGGCAATGCAGCGAGCAAAGACAAGACACCTGGTTGGTAATTCCCAATTTCATCGCTCCGGCCATTGGACGATTTCTCTACTTGTTTTTCGCGACCACAAGGAGAAGTTTGCTTCCTTCAATTGTTTGTTTAAATTTATTTATTTATTTAAATTGCATTGTTGATGCAGACTGCCCAGGAATATCCCAGCGCTCCTATTGGGTGATGAGTGAGCCTCGGGTCAGGGTCACGGAGAGGGAAGGAGTCCGACACGTCAGCCGGGACCCACTCGTGGTGGCAAAAACCAACGGCGCCAGGCTGGAGATGGATGGCGACCCGGATCCGGACGCCGCCCGCGCACAACACAATCCCAGGCAGCGGCCACCGGCCACAGCGGGTGCGGGTCGCGTCACCAGTGACGGGCCGCGTTCCACGTCCTGCTGCCGTGATCCGTTTCCACTGACGTGTGGGGCAAGGTGGTTCTTGGACCCACGCGTCGGTGGATGGGTGCGAGGAGGGGGGCGGTGGCGTGACGTGCGCCGCCGACCGCAGCAGGGGCCATGCCGCGCATGCGCACTTGGGCCATGTTTAGATTGCAAAAAATTGCAACCTGATGAATAGTAGCGTTTTCGTCTTATTTGGTAAATATTGTCCAATTGTGGACCAACTAAGCTCAAAAGATTCATCTCGTAATTTCCAACTAAACTGTGCAATTAGTTATTTTTTTTACCTACATTTAATGCTCCATGCAAGCGGCTAAAAATTGATGTGATGGAGAGAGAGTGAAAAAACTTGGAATTTTGATGTAAACTAAACAAGGCCTTGCACAGATAGGAAGGCGGCCACGGTTCCTTCCAAGCGGCTTCGTTTGGTCGAGTCGGCTTTTGCTGTAAGATCCCTGACGGATGTCAGATTTACGGACCAGTTCAACAACAGATTCTCTTTTCTTTTTCCCTCCACACATTCTTTTAATTTAATATTCTCCCTTACTTTCAGTTACAGATTTAAATCAATTTAACATCAGGTGTAATCTATACACTTGTGCTACGGAGTCAACTTGCATCAATGACATGAAACAATGTGGATATCTCCGTTGCCTCGTACAAAGTTCGTATGCATATATATTACATGTTTCACCAATATCTTAAAACATCGTCCTTTGCCTTTTCTTATAAGAGGCTCCATCGACGAGTTTAGTTAAAATATAGTCCCTTTGATTAAAAATAATTGCTTTTACGTTTTTCATAATTCAAACTTCTTTAAGTTTAATTAAACTCTTAGAAACTAACATCTATGTTGTTTCCTTAGATTTTGATGTGATCTATTTTGATAAAAAAAATATTTGAGCTTCTAGATTCAATGTATTAAAAAAACGTATTTAAAGTTAAGGAAATTTGATTTAGGATAGAATTAAGGTGAACTATAATTTAAAACGGAAAGAGTACTTCCCAAGATGCAAAGTCATTCTTATTCATCATATTATTATTTTGGGGGTCCTCCAAGTTATTTTCTTAAACATTTGGATACTCTTTTTTGGGTATTCTCTTTGTGCGACAATGGTATAATCAAAATATCTTCTTCAATATCGCATTATAGGACGTGTGGGGGTTTTTCCTCGTTGCAAAATAGAGTGTATGCCAATGTTTACATGACCATTCTACCATTATGAGCACATCACCAGAAATTAGATTGATATGTCACCTGCTATTAAAAGAAATAGCCAGATTAATGAGATAGAATACATCAAACATTGTGTTTAATCTCTAATGAAGTGGTGAGAGGACCTACAAAAACAAAAGGTGGAATAAATAGGTCATAGATTATAACAATCCACATGCCATATTACTTATAATCTAACACACTATTTCCCCTAGCATAGATTGTAAGAATTTGCAAGTTGTAATTCATAATCTACAAGCTAAAATAATATTACCCTCCTGCATGATGTGTGGGTTGATTTTGTTCAATAAAGATACTCAAAATAGTACCTCATATCTAATATTTATTAAGAAAAAAAGTGGCTACTACAAAAGATATACAACTTGATACAAAGTGACACCTAAAAAGATAATAAAACCTCAAGAATCAATCTTGTTGGAGCCTGGAAATTAGCAAGGAAAGATACACCTGCAAACCACCCTCACAGTACAAGGGTCTGAAGACTACTAAGGGCATTTGTCGCTAGTTTTGAGATCTAGTAACGACTGAAAGAACATTGGCTGGAGGAATCCCTTAGAAATGCAGGCTTACGATCCTTTACCAATTACCACTAGAACATAGTGTGGAGAAAACAAACGTTTCCATAGAATAAACCAAGCGGGTCAAAATCGCCGCATCAAAAGCTAATCAATCGTTCACTCTGATAAACATACGAACTATCAAGATTTGAAGAGAACCAACATATATGATTAGAACAAACTCTCATGGCCCCTTTGCATGTGCCAGATTATTCATCGTCAAGGTAAGGGGAGGCTGATCAAACTCTAGATGAAACAATGATCAACAAAAACTAAATCTACGGAAGTGTGAGGCTCACTCGTCTAGTCGTCAATGAGGTCGTCGATAAGGAGAGAGAGAGAGGAGGGAGAAAGGCGACAACAACAACTACTAAGGGAACCGCGAGCGGCGATCGAGACTTTTATACAACAAGACAAGTATGAACCGAATTTGCTATGAGGGAATATACGAAAAACACTCACACCTACGGGTGAGACTTGTTTGTTTGAAACCTTAATTCTCTACTTCTTTTTCTATTTTTAGTTTTCCCTACATTTCCGTTCCTATGAATTTCCATGAATAGTTTGTCATCCCCCCCCCAAAACGAGCTTGGATGTCAAAAAGCTTCTTCAAAATGGATCGATGTTCGATTAAAATTATTACGGGGTCATGCCTGCTAAAATCCAAACAAACTTGGAATAGGCAACATAAAGCGGCTTTTCCATTAAAGCCCCCGCAGGAATGCCGGAATTTCCCCTCTCCGGTTGTCAAGCTGATCCTCTCTGCTCCATTTCTCCTCGTCCCTCCGGTATCGCATCGCGCATCGCGCATCGCATCACCGCCTCTCGCTTTCTCCCCTTCTCTCTCCCCTCCCTCCCTCCTGCGCTCCGCCGCGACGCGGACAGCCGAGGCGCGGACGACGGCGACGACGCGAACGCCCCCCGCCGCCGCCTAGGTATCTCCTTCGCTCTCCTCCCCTTCCCTCGTGGCGCGCGCCGCCTCTCGGCCGGCGTCGTCATATTTTACCGAGTACCGACGATTTCGTTTTCGTCCTCGCAGCGAAGTTTGCGCGAAATTTCTCTTCTTGTTGCCCCCGCGGTTTCGTCCGTGCTTGCTTTCACGAATTACGATTATTAATTTTGGTTCTTGTCGCGGGGTGGGGGTGCCACAGCTGGCGCTGCTATTTAATCCTTCGTTGGCAACAAGTTGATCCTTCCCAGCTCCGGCGCAGTGTTCCGGAGAGGTGCAAGGTTGGTATGGCCTTCTAGTTTTATTGTCTTTGTTGTAGTGAGCCCACCCTTCGTTTGATGGATTCGTTCGTTTGCCCCTGGAGAACGAACTTGCGAGATCGTTCAGCTGTTAGCTCAACCCTGTGTCCTTGCAGTTGATGAGGTGCGCACACGAAATTGGACACTTGTTAGTGGAGCTGCGTTGCGTCTCTGTTTTTTTTTAATCCGGGGCGGGGAACCGTTCTGAGTCAGTGTCTGGGCCTAGGTGAGAGGACAGAGCCTGAATCGAGCTAGAGCTTCTGTCTCGTTTTGAGGGGTTCATGTATGCACTGAGGAGATTTTCAATTCGTTATCATAGTGAAATCACGCATATTCCCTCTTACCTTGGGCTAGAGTCTGCCTCTGAACTGTGAATTCCCATCCATTGTTTATTTGCTTTGTGTGGAGAAGGTGTAGAAAAGCTTCACTAAGTTGTGGTTGATAAAAAATCTGAATCTTGATGACTAGAAAGTTACATTTATCTAATCTTAATGACCACAAAGTTACATTTATGAAAAATATAGTATCTTTGGAAGAAGAATGCATGGTTGGTTTGCTCCCTAGTTGATCACCTGTAGTCTAGGTATACACTAATGTTAATGTAAAGAAAGCTGCAGGATTGTAACTAAAATTTCACACATGGATCTTTCCTGTTTTCGTTCTCTCACTCCCCCCTCCCCCTTCTTGTTCGTTTCATCCCAAAACCAAAGGGACTGGAGGGGATTAAATCCCCCACCCCCCCACTAGGCATCATTTAAAATTTTCTTGATGGATTTGTCTGGTGAATTGAAACCAAGTTCCATTTTGCTCGTTCGGATCGAGATGAACGTAGAATATTCCTGTCCTATATTAATATGGTCTGTCTCTAAAAAAATAACACAGCCCTATAGACCCACTTCAGATATATTCTGGTTCTTACTTTTTGCAGTGATCGAGAGTCGAGACATGTTAATATTCTTGTTCCTGATACAAAGTTGCAAACTGTGGCATGCATGATGAGATTTTAGCTTCTGCGTTGATTTTGCAGGCACATTTGCTGGGAATTAGGGCAATCAGCTTTTAAGTAATTGTGGTCTACTGCTGTTTGATTATTACTGGTAAGGCTCATAAACTTCAAACTTCTGCCACCTTTTATGGCAGAAACTTAGTATCTACTTAGTATATGCTGCGCAACGGTTTATGGTGCCTGTGGGTTTTGTTTTGTTCTTATCAGGTAGCACTTGGCCACTTGACTTCCTGTAAATTTTTGGAAGTTCAAATTATCTGATCTTAGGTGGAGTGGACGAAAGATCTAACCATAACTTGCCATCGGTAATTGATCTTGATGGTGGCCCATTCTGGACACCAGTGCGTCCTCTTGAACGCTGGTGAGGAAGTAGAGATCTCCTGCGGGAGAAAAAAGGAAGTAGAGATCAGCGGCCAATGGCGGTGTTCGCAGTGCCCTTCCTGTCACTTTCAGCACCACTTAGATCGGATCCTAGGAGGTTTGTTAGGCTAGCTAATCCCCTAGGAACATTGGTTCCCTTGGGTGTGAGCTGTCCCTCTTATTGGTACTGTGTGATGGGGGGCCAGCCATCGGTTGGTTCAGGGTGCCCTTGATTGCGACATATACAGGAGCTACGCGCTCCCCTTGACTGGGCTGGAGCAACAGTCTGAGCATTGGGCCATTCCTATGATCCTATCTATGAGCCCGAGATCATTTTTCCAACGCAAATTAGCAGTGATTCAACTCTTAGCAGTATGGTCTCATATGGAACATTTTTGAGTTGTTTAGCATTGCGCCTTTCTTTATCATAACATTGCATGCTGAGTTTTTTATTTTCAAATTTTTAGTATAAACCATTTGAAAGCCACGTTGGGTTCGAACTCACTAAGAGCTCCCAACTATTTAGACCACACTCTGGTCATTGTCTCTTGCTCTATTTTCTGGGCATGATTGAACTCCTCAATCTTGTTAATTATTTTGGCTATGTAGTATGACTTCCGTCCTGACCTTTTATTGTTGAACTCTGGTTGAGCAGTAAGAATATAAGATTGCATTTTCGCATACAAGATTTTCTCCCTTCTATTCTTGCCAATGACATATATGAAGAGTCAACATTGATTACAGATATGGAACTGAATGCACTGTGATACCCAATTTCTTTTCAGCTGTATCACGTGTCTCTATTTTATGCATATTTCTTACAGTCTTTATACATTATTTATTTTCTTCATAATTATTTTAACTCAATGAGAACTGATCTCATCTGTGTTCTGTTCACTTCCTGCAGAGATTCAGTCATTTCGTTGGATGAGAGTTCTGGCTGGAGACTTACAAGTGTAGCACTGTTGTCAGCTTGTGATTAAATAGCATCACTTCACATACAACACTGGATAATGGATCGTAGGGATACTTCAGGGTTCGTCAGTGGAGGGTGCAAAAAATAATGAAGCCTACTAATTTCTCTAGATCTTCTAACTTGGTAGCTTTGTTGACAATTATTTAACCCAGAAGTGAGGCCAGCTGGTACTTCCCATAAAGTTTGGTTACTCTAGCCAATGGAACCCAGGCACGGGCGTTCAGCATTCACTATAAGTTTCTCAAATCCAAATGGCTTTGCGAATCAGCGCACTGCCATTCCAGCCGTCAGTTATCCAGCAGCTGGTTCTAGCCAACTTGATGTGCTAGCTCCTAGAGGTTGCAAGAGAAAGTGGACTGAGTTGGCTCTAGGTCTGGGTGACTCATCAAGCTCAGACAGCAGCAAGCAGAGCATGGGTACTGGATGCACTGTTTCTTCTGCTAAGGGAAGCGATGATGCCTCATGTATGGACTACGACATAAGTTTTAAGTTATCTCTTTGCAATGAAGGTACTTCCAAGCTGCATAAACAGGCTTGTGATTCTAAAAGGACTATGGAGAAGCCTCGGTTGGATCTTAAGTTATCATTGGCTCCATCTCAGTCCGATGTAACTGATGCAGATCTAATTAGAAGCAGTGCACCTCAGGACATGTTTGTGCATCCGTACTTGATGTCCTCAGTGCCAACAGTTGATGAAGGATCTACATCTGCTCGACATTCATCTGGAGGCATTGTGAGTTCCTTTCTTAACCGGGCAGGGATTTCTCTGAGTCAAGCGTTCCCAGTTAACTCTAATCAGGTTCAAGGTCCAGCTCCTTCAGCGCCAACAGTGCTCCAACTGCCAAAAAGTTCAGCTGCCTCTTCTTCTGGGTTTGTCCGTTCACAGCAAGCACGCAACAGTAGCACAAAAATCTGTTCACAGCCAGGTTGTGCAAAAGGAGCCAGGGGTTCATCCGGGCGGTGCATTGCCCACGGTGGGGGTAGAAGGTGCCAAAAAGAAGGCTGCAACAAAGGAGCTGAGGGCAAGACCATCTTCTGTAAAGCCCATGGAGGGGGGGAAGCGCCATGAACACCTTGGATGTACCAAAAGTGCCAAGGGCGGACTGATTTCTGCATAGCCCATGGCGGCGGGCGGCGTTGCAGTCATGAAGGGTGCAAAAGGGCAGCACGAGGCAAATCGGGCCTCTGTATCAAGCATGGTGGTGGGAAGAGGTGCCAAAAGCCAAACTGCACAAAGAGCGCCGAAGGGCGGTCAGGCATGTGCATTGCTCATGGTGGCGGGCGCCGCTGTCAGTATGCTGGGTGCGGGAAGGGAGCTCAGGGCAGCACCAATTTCTGCAAAGCCCATGGTGGCGGCAAGAGATGCACACACCCTGACTGTTCCAAGGGTGCAGAGGGAAGCACGCCATTCTGCAAAGCACATGGAGGCGGCAAGCGTTGTTCAGCCGACGGATGCACGAAGAGCGTGCATGGTGGGACCCAATTCTGCGTCGCGCATGGAGGTGGGAAGAGGTGCGCGGTTGAAGGATGCAGGAAGAGCGCAAGAGGCCGGACGGACCGTTGTGTTCTCCATGGTGGGGGCAAGCGATGCCACTTCGCTGGCTGTGGAAAGAGCGCACAGGGAAGCACCGACTTCTGCAAGTCACACGGTGGAGGCAGGCGCTGCTCATGGGGACATCCGGGTTCAGACCTCGGATCAGGCGGTGCTCCTTGCGACCGTCTGGCAAGAGGCAAAAAGGGGCTATGCGATCGACACAACCCGCTGGTGGATGACAACAGTGTCCACGGGGGTGTGTCGTTTGGTGGTTTCAGCATCGTCAGTAGTGCTGCCCTTTCTGAGGGAGATGGTTCTCCACGCACCGAAACAAGCATGCGCAGCTTCTTCATGCACACGGTGGAGGCTCCTCCTCGCCATGTGGTGGCCTCAGCCCATGAAGGCCGGGTGCATGGGGGGAACTTTATGCCCATCATACTGGACGGTGGTGTGGGACTCGGGAAGAAGCCGGCCGACAACGTTGATGCCAGTACCTCTGTCCCTCGCTACTGGAAAAATATGGAGAAGCCCTTTGGCTCTGCGCAGCGCAGCTGGCTGTAATGCCAGAGTCCGTGGTCTGCCCCCCTTCATCTCGGTATCCTCCTCCGTTCAAGAATCCCTCTGGTCTGGTGTGAAATCTACTATGCGTGGTATATGGTATGATAACTGTTTGTGTGTACTGGTTGGTCAGGACTTGTTTGCTAGTGTGGACATTGTCACATTGTGGTTGTGTGTGCTTTGTAACATCAGTCTGGTCGAACATACCTAGTAACAGTAGTCGTGTGTGAATGAATTGTGAAAGGAACCCCTCGTCGTGATGTATAAAAAAAAAGGAGAGAGGTTGCATCAGTCGATGTAATCAAAGTGTGAATGAATTATAGTTACTGCTTTCATGCAGCCTTTTCGCTCGGTCGTATTTGGTTTATAAGCCATGGTTTATTAGCCAATGAACAATATTTTTCTCTCACACCAAATCAGCCAACAGTATTTTCAGTCATGGCTTATCAGCCAAACAAGCCCAAACGAACAGGACGATGGACTGTTATTATTCTTGTTTTTTCCATTTATGTATTTATGCTTATATGAATCGTTGTATGAATGATCCCTGGGAAGCATCGTTCGGTGCTTTCAGTATCATCAGCAATGGTCTTTTCCGAGGTGGTCGTCCTGCAAGGCCAAGCAACCGAAACAAAGGCCTCTCCATGGGCCAACCTCAGCCCATGAGGGCCGGGTGTTCCATGGAAAAGCCTTGCAGCTCTGCACAGCGCAGCTGGCTGATTGGTCAGGACTGATTTGCTATTATGGTCGCGTGTGCTTTGTAACAGTGGTACGGTCGCTTGCGTAATACTTCTAATATCCCATCTAAACTCTAGAGCTCTAAAAATTTTAGATCACTTTAACTTAGTTTTGAGATCTAAGTCTCCACCATCATCGAATCGAAAAGCTCCAAAAATATCGCACCTCGCTCGTCATAGCACTGATCAGCCTCTTTGTTGTGTATGGTATATCAGCCTGTTCGCTTGTTGGTTTCAACCAGCCTAAACCAGCCAGCCAATAGTGTTTTCCTCTCACAGAAAACCAGCACCAGCCAGTCCAAACCAGCAACAGCACCAACCAGCGAACAGGTATATCTGTAAACAATCTTTGGTGTGCATGCTACTTAATATAATGGGACCTGACATGGATATCTATCTAGACCTAAACGCATTGTGGTTTGGGGGTGGCGCTGCAAATTTACAAACATAACCTGCGCATCATGGCCCTTGTCATCCTTCATTAATGCATTCACCTCTCTGAAAAGCGTGAGGTCTGTGCGTGTGCGTCACCGAACGGTTCAACCAAACTTGGGCAGAAAAGACGCTGCCCTGCTTGGCGAGACTCGTCGAATCCAACTAGGATGCGATGCATGACGACGTTGTTTGTTTAGTTCAGTTCTGGTATACTCCCTTTCTCCTAAAATAGATGTTGCTCTCTTTCTCGAGAAGTCAATTATTTTTTTTTAACTTTGATCAATTATATATAAAAGAATATTAATATTTATAAATACATAATTATTATTATTAGATAGATCTTTAAATATATTTTCATATTAAACTTATTTAAAATATTTTTTTAAAATCTAATTAAAGTTAGGAAAGTTTAATCAGCACCTATCAACTTCCTCTCGTAGACCGAGGGAGTATACAGTACCAGTAGTAATAACACGGCAACGCAGCGAGCAAAGACAAGACACCTGGACGATTTCTCTACTTGTTTTTCGCGACCACAAGGAGAAGTTTGCTTCCTTTAATTGTTTGTTTAAATTTATTTATTTATTTAAATTGCATTGTTGATGCAGACTGCCCAGGAATATCCCAGCGCTCCTATTGGGTGATGAGTGAGCCTCGGGTCAGGGTCACGGAGATATCAGTGTTCGGCAGGGAAGGAGGCCGACACGTCAGCCGGGACCCACTCCCTCCCCCTCCTCTCGACTCGTGGTGGCCAAAAACCAACGGCACCAGGCTGGAGATGGATGGCGACCCGGATCCGGACGCCGCCGCGACCATCCCTCGCTCGCCTCGGCGCCGCGAGGCCCGCCCGCGCACAACACGATCCCGGCCACCGGCCACCGGCCACAGCGGGTGCGGGTCGCGTCACCAGTGACGGGCCGCGTTCCACGTCCTGCTGCCGTGATCCGTTTCCACTGACGTGTGGGGCAAGGTGGTTCTTGGACCCACGCGTCGGTGGATGGGTGCGAGGAGGGGGGCGGTGGCGTGAGGTGCGCCGCCGACCGCAGCAGGGGCCATGCCGCGCATGCGCACTTGCACAGACAGGAAGGCGGCCACGGTTCCTTCCAAGCGGCTTCGTTTGGTCGAGTCGGCTTTTGCTGTAAGATCCCTGACGGATGTCAGATTTACGGACCAGAACAACAACAGATTCTATTTTCTTTTCCCTCCACACATTCTTTTAATTTAATATTCTCCCTTACTTTCAGTTACAGATTTAAATCAATTTAACATCAGGTGTAATCTATACACTTGTGCTACGGAGTCGACTTGCATCAATGACAAGAAACAATCAGCCTGTTCGCTTGCTCGTAAACGATCGTAAATTTCCAGCCGGAAATAGTGTTTTTCTCTCACACCAAACCAGCCAGCAGTAAATAATCCACGATACGATACGGCCTCCCGAACAGGCAAAATGTGGATATCTCCGTTGCCTCGTACAAATTTCGTATGCGTATATATTACATGTTTCACCAAAATCTTAAAACATCGTCCTTTGCCTTTTCTTGTAAGAGGCTCCATCGACGAGTTTAGTTAAAATATAGTCCCTCTGTTTCAAAAAAATTTCGCTTTTACGTTTTTCATAATTCAAACTTCTTTAACTTTAATTAAACTCTTAGAAACTAACATCTATGTTGTTTCCTTAGATTTTGATGCGATCTATTTTGATAAAAAAATATTTGAGCTTCTAGATTCAGTGTATTAAAAGAGATATTTAAAATTAAGGAAATTTGATTTAGGATAGAATTAAGGTGAACTATAATTTAAAACGGAAAGAGTACTTCCCAAGATGCAAAGTCGTTCTTATTCATCATATTATTATTTTGGGGGTCCTCCAAGTTATTTTCTTAAACATTTGGATACTCTTTTTTGGGTATTCTCTTTGTGCGACAATGGTATAATCAAAATATCTTCTTCAATATCGCATTATAGGACGTGTGGGGTTTTTTCCTCGTTGCAAAATAGAGTGTATGCCGATGTTTACATGATCATTCTACCATTATGAGCACATCACCAGAAATTAGATTGATATGTTACCTACTATTAAAAGAAATAGCCAGATTAATGAGATACAAGACATCAAACATTATGTTTAATCTCTAATGAAGTGGTGGGAGGACCTACAAAAACAAAGGTGGAATAAATAGGTCATATTATAACAATCCACATGCCATATTACTTATAATCTAACACACTATTTCCCCTAGCATAGATTGTAAGGATTTGCAAGTTGTAATTCATAATCTACAAGCTAAAATAATATTACCCTCCTGCATGATGTGTGGGTTGATTTTTTCAATAAAGATACTCAAAATAGTACCTCATATCTAATATTTATTAAGAAAAATAGTGGCTACTACAAAAGATATACAAATTGATACAAAGTGACACCTAAAAAAATTAAAACCTCAAGAATCAATCTTGTTGGAGCCTGGAAATTAGCAAGGAAAGATACACCTGCAAACCACCCTCACAGTACAAGGGTCTGAAGACTACTAAGGGCATATGTCGCTAGTTTTGAGATCTAGTAACAACTGAAAGAACATTGGCTGGGGGAGTCCCTTAGAAATGCAGGCTTACGATCCTTTACCAATTACCACTAGAACATAGTGTGGAGAAAACAAACGTTTCCATAGAATAAACCAAGCGGGTCAAAATCGCCGCATCAAAAGCTAATCAATCGCTTACTCTGATAAACATACGAACTATCAAGATTTGAAGAGAACCAACATATATGATTAGAACAAACTCTCATGGCCCCTTTGCATGTGCCAGATTATTCATCGTCAAGGTAAGGAGAGGCTGACCAAACTCTAGATGAAACAATAATCAACAAAAACTAAATCTACGGAAATGTGAGGCTCACTCGTCTAGTCGTTAATGAGGTCGTCAATAAGGAGAGAGAGTGAGAGGAGGGAGAAAGGCGACAACAACAACTGCTAAGGGAGTCGCGAGCGGCGATTGAGACTTTTATACGACAAGACAAGTATGAACCAAATTTGCTATAAGGAAAAATAGGAAAAACACTCACACCTACGGGTGAGACATGTTTGTTTGAAACCTTAATTCTCTACTTCTTTTTCTATTTTTAGTTTTCCTTACATTTCCGTTCCTATGAATTTCCATGAATAGTTATGTCATTTTTGTCCCCCAAAACGAGCTTGGATGTCAAAAAAGCTTCTTCAAAATGGATCGACGTTCGATTGAAATTATTACGGGGTCATGCCTGCTAAAATCCAAACAAACTTGGCAACAAGTTGGCATCGCGCTGCCCAAGGAGACGAAACAGAAAGCGGTTTTTCGATTAAAGCCCCCGCAGGAATGCCGGAATTTCCCCTCTCCGGTTGTCAAGCCAATGCGCGCCCTCACCTCAGCATCTCTCTGCTCCATTTCTCCTCGTCCCTCCGGCATCACATCGCGCATCGCATCACCGCCTCTCGCTTTCTCCCCTTCTCTCTCCCCTCCCTCCCTCCTGCGCTCCGCCGCGACGCGGACAGCCGAGGCGCGGACGACGGCGACGACGCGAACGCCCCCCTTGCCGCCTAGGTATCTCCTTCGCTCTCCTCCCCTTCCCTCGTGGCGCGCGCCGCCTCTCGGCCGGCGTCGTCATATTTTACCGAGTACAGAAGATTTCGTTTTCGTCCTCGTAGCGAAGTATGCGCGAAATTTCTCTTCTTGTTGGCCCCGCGGTTTCGTCCGTGCTTGCTTTCACGAATTACGACTATTAATTTTGGTTCTTGTCGCGGGGTGGGGGTGCCACAGCTGGCGCTGCTATTTAATCCTTCGTTGGCAACAAGTTGAGAATCCTCCCCCGCCTTTGCAAGTTCAGTGGAGTAAAAAGCTCTGCTCATTCGACTGTACCTTTGCAGCGAATCTTCTGACCTCCTCTCTCATAGTTTAAGATCTAACCATAACTTGCCATCGGTAGTTGATCTTGATGGTGGCCCATTCTGGACACCAGTGCGTCCTCTTGAACGCTGGTGAGGAAGTAGAGATCTCCTGCGGGAGAAAAAAGGAAGTAGAGATCAGCGGCCAATGGTGGTGTTCGCAGTGCCCTTCCTGTCACTTGCAGCACCACTTAGATCGGATCCTAGGAGGTTTGTTAGGCTAGCTAATCCCCTAGGAACATTGGTTCCCTTGGGTGTGAGCTGTCCCTCTTATTGGTACTGTGTGATGGGGGGCCAGCCATCGGTTGGTTCAGGGTGCCCTTGATTGCGACATATACAGGAGCTACGCGCTCCCCTTGACTGGGCTGGAGCAACAGTCTGAGCATTGGGCCATTCCTATGATCCTATCGATGAGCCTGAGATCATTTTTCCAACGCAAATTAGCAGTGATTCAACTCTTAGCAGTATGGTCTCATATGGAACAATTTTGAGTTGTTTAGCTTTGCGCCTTTCTTTATCATAACATTGCATGCTGAGTTTTTTATTTTCAATTTTTAGTATAAACCATTTGAAAGCCACGTTGGGTTCGAACTCACTAAGAGCTCCCAGCTATTTAGACCACACTCTGGTCATTGTCTCTTGCTCTATTTTCTGGGCATGATAGAACTCCTCAATCTTGTTAATTATTTTGGCTATGTAGTATGACTTCCGTCCTGACCTTTTATTGTTGAACTCTGGTTGAGCAGTAAGAATATAAGATTGCATTTTCGCATACAAGATTTTCTCCCTTCTATTCTTGCCAATGACATATATGAAGAGTCAACATTGATTACAGATATGGAACTGAATGCACTGTGATGCCCAATTTCTTTTCAGCTGTATCACGTGTCTCTATTTGTTGCATATTTCTTACAGTCTTTATACATTATTTATTTTCTTCATAATTATTTTAACTCAATGAGAACTGATCTCATCTGTGTTCTGTTCACTTCCTGCAGAGATTCAGTCATTTCGTTGGATGAGAGTTCTGGCTGGAGACTTACAAGTGTAGCACTGTTGTCAGCTTGTGATTAAATAGCATCACTTCACATACAACACTGGATAATGGATCGTAGGGATACTTCAGGGTTCGTCAGTGGAGGGTGCAAAAAATAATGAAGCCTACTAATTTCTCTAGATCTTCTAACTTGGTAGCTTTGTTGACAATTATTTAACCCAGAAGTGAGGCCAGCTGGTACTTCCCATAAAGTTTGGTTACTCTAGGAGCAATGGAACCCAGGCACGGGCGTTCAGCATTCACTATAAGTTTCTCAAATCCAAACGGCTTTGTGAATCAGCGCACTGCCATTCCAGCCGTCAGTTATCCAGCAGCTGGTTCTAGCCAACTTGATGTGCTAGCTCCTAGAGGTTGCAAGAGAAAGTGGACTGAGTTGGCTCTAGGTCTGGGTGACTCATCAAGCTCAGACAGCAGCAAGCAGAGCATGGGTACTGGATGCACTGTTTCTTCTGCTAAGGGAAGCGATGATGCCTCATGTATGGACTACGACATAAGTTTTAAGTTATCTCTTTGCAATGAAGGTACTTCCAAGCTGCATAAACAGGCTTGTGATTCTAAAAGGACTATGGAGAGGCCTCGGTTGAATCTTAAGTTATCATTGGCTCCATCTCAGTCCGATGTAACTGATGCAGATCTAATTAGAAGCAGTGCACCTCAGGACATGTTTGTGCATCCGTACTTGATGTCCTCAGTGCCAACAGTTGATGAAGGATCTACATCTGCTCGACATTCATCTGGAGGCATGGTGACTTCCTTTCTTAACCGGGCAGGGATTTCTCTGAGTCAAGCGTTCCCATTTAACTCTAATCAGGTTCAAGGTCCAGCTCCTTCAGCGCCAACAGTGCTCCTACTGCCAAAAAGTTCAGCTGCCTCTTCTTCTGGGTTTGTCCGTTCACAGCAACGCAACAGTAGCACAAAAATCTGTTCACAGCCAGGTTGTGCAAAAGGAGCCAGGGGTTCATCCGGGCGGTGCATTGCCCACGGTGGGGGTAGAAGGTGCCAAAAAGAAGGCTGCAACAAAGGAGCTGAGGGCATGACCATCTTCTATAAAGCCCATGGAGGGGGGAAGCGCTGCGAACACCTTGGATGTACCAAAAGTGCCGAAGGCCGGACTGATTTCTGCATAGCCCATGGCGGCGGGCGGCGTTGCAGTCATGAAGGGTGCAAAAGGGCAGCACGAGGCAAATCGGGCCTGTGTATCAAGCATGGTGGTGGTAAGAGGTGCCAAAAGCCAAACTGCACAAAGAGCGCCGAAGGGCGGTCAGGCATGTGCATTGCTCATGGTGGCGGGCACCGCTGTCAGTATGCTGGGTGCGGGAAGGGAGCTCAGGGCAGCACCAATTTCTGCAAAGCCCATGGTGGCGGCAAGAGATGCACACACCCTGACTGTTAGGGTGCAGAGGGAAGCACGCCATTCTGCAAAGCACATGGAGGCGGCAAGCGTTGTTCAGCCGACGGCTGCACGAAGAGCGTGCTTGGTGGGACCCAGTTCTGCGTCGCGCATGGAGGTGGGAAGAGGTGCGCGGTTGAAGGATGCAGGAAGAGCGCAAGAGGCCGGACGGACCGTTGTGTTGGCCATGGTGGGGGCAAGTGATGCCACTTCGCTGGCTGTGGAAAGAGCGCGCAGGGAAGCACCGACTTCTGCAAGTCACACGGTGGAGGCAGGCGCTGCTCATTGGGACATCTGGGTTCAGACCTCGGATCAGGCGGTGCTCCTTGCGACCGTCTGGCAAGAGGCAAAAAGGGGCTATGCGATCGACACAACCCGCTGGTGGATGACAACAGTGTCCACGGTGGTGTGTCGTTTGGTGGTTTCAGCATCGTTGGTAGTGCTGCCCTTTCTGAGGGAGATGGTTCTCCACGCACCGAAACAAGCATGCGCAGCTTCTTCATGCACACGGTGGAGGCTCCTCCTCGCCATGTGGTGGCCTCAGCCCATGAAGGTCGGGTGCATGGGGGGAACTTTATGCCCATCATGCTGGACGGTGGTGTGGGACTCGGGAAGAAGCCAGCCAACAACGTTGATGCCAGTACCTCTGTCCCTCGCTACTGGAAAAATATGGAGAAGCCCTTTGGCTCTGCGCAGCGCAGCTGGCTGTAATGCCAGAGTTCGTGGTCTGCCCCCCTTCATCTCGGTATCCTCCTCCGTTCAAGAATCTCCCGTGCCCTCTGGTCTGGTGTGAAATCTACTATGCGTGGTATATGGTATGATAACTGTTTGTGTGTACTGGTTGGTCAGGACTTGTTTGCTAGTGTGGACATTGTGGTTGTGTGTGCTTTGTAACATCAGTCTGGTCGAACATACCTAGTAACAGTAATCGTGTGTGAATGAATTGTGAAAGGAACCCCCTCGTCGTGATGTATAAAAAAAGGAGAGGTTGCATCAGTCGATGTAATCAAAGTGTGAATGAATTATAGTTACTGCTTTCATGGACTGTTATTATTCTTGTTTTTTCCATTTATGTATTTATGCTTGTTATATGAATCGTTGTATGAATGATCCCTGGGAAGTATCGTTCGGTGCTTTCAGTATCATCAGCAATGGTCTTTCCGAGGAGGTCGTCCTGCAAGGCCAAGCAACCGAAACAAAGGCCTCTCCATGGGCCAACCTCAGCCCATGAGGGCCGGGTGTTCCGTGGAAAAGCCTTGCAGCTCTGCACAGCGCAGCTGGCTGATTGGTCAGGACTGATTTGCTATTATGGTCTTGTGTGCTTTGTAACAGTGGTACGGTCGCTTGTGTAATAATACTGATACATCCTCTAAACTCTAGAGCTCTAAAAAATTTAGAGCACTTTAACTCAGTTTTGTGATCTAAGGCTCTAATGTAAGATGAGCTAAAGTTTAGAGCTGACTATAGATTATCTGTTTGGAGACTTTAACTCTAAGTTTAGAGAGAAGTTGATCCAAACAGACTAGATTAAACTATTGGTGCCAGTGCCATCCCGGCCTGCTGATTGTTTGCACTGTATTTTATATATAAATAAACTAGTACTCCTTCTGTCTTTAAATAAATCAAGTTTTAGAATCCGTGCTAGTTAAATTTTTTTTAAGTTGGACCAACTTTATAGAAATAAAAAACAACATCAATGCCATAAAATGAGCACCTGATAAAAATATATTTTATGATAAATCTAATGATATAATTTGATACCATAGATCTTAATGTTTTTTTTTCTAAAAATTCAATCAAAGTTTAAAAATCTTGACTTAAGACAACTTTAAGAATCTATTTATTCGGGGACACAGGGAGTATCTTATAAATAAACTAGCAAGAAAAAATCCTCCATTGTACGGAGTACACTTCTATATATGATACAGCATGAGTATCCCAAAGGGCCAAGGCGAGGAAGACGATGCCGGGACGGCGGGACGTGGACGTCCTCGGCCTCGGAATATCCTTCCTTGTCCCTTTCCAGCTCCAACGCCGCGTCTCCTTGTTTTTAGAATTCAAATTCACAGGGCGGTTTCGTTTCTGTTTCCCTGCGAAGTTTGCATGGCACTTTCTTGTTTCTTCTCCAGCCATTTTTGTCCTTTCTTCGGCTCTTGCGATCTAAAAGTCCGCGGGAAGCCGCATGTTGTATTCTTTGCCGGCCTCCAGGCTCCAGCTCCAACGCAGCTAGCGCAGTGGTTTGAGGTGGTGGCAACTGGCAAGGCCTTGCGATCTTACTTGCTGGTATGCTGTGCTTCTTGCTCTTGCTGATTAGCTACTACTACTCCTATCCTATTATTATACTACTATATATATATATCTTGTAGCGAGCTTACCCTTTCTCTGTCGCTAATCTTGTAATGTAACCAACATATGTACTTTCGCAAGAGAGGATAGGGTCGCGCACGCGTCTGGCCGCCGAGGGGTACGCGGTGTCTTTTTGTGAATTGATACAAAGTTTAGCCGCCATGAATTGTTAGGTTAGATAGACCAGTGAACTAATAGCTAATTGAGGCTTGGACTAGCCTACCCACTAGTTTACCTGTTTGAATCTTCATAGGCTAAACTTTAGCCAACTAGTTGTTAGGTTATGGGATCCAAACAGATCCTAAGATACCTAGTTATCGACTTCACGAGCATTGAATATAACAGTTACCAGTATATATAAAATGGCCCTGCTCGGCTGCACTTCCTTTAGTCCTATGGCTGTGGCTGTTTATTATAGCACGAACTAGAAATGCAAGAAGTGTAGCCGAGCAGGCTGAATGAGTACATAGGGAATGATTTATATAGATCTTTCTCTTATTTGCTTGTACTCTCACAAAATAGTTACAAAGGCCTGTGTGTATGAGCGGGGTAGACAATCCACTGGCGGAGCCGCCGGGGGAGGGGGGGGGGGGGCGCATGGCCCCCCTAACAATACAAATTATTTTATATATAATATATATAGTAAATAATCTATCTTTATATTAAAAGAATATAATGAAGAAAATCTTGTTATAATGTTTATTGATATATCTTTTAGACAACAAAATCACAGAATATAATTAGAATAAAATATGTTGATTTATTTAAGTTTGTTTGCTTACCATATTATGATATATCTATTAATTTTTTGGTTTATTAAAGTACTTATGTTTCATTATACTTTAGATTTTATTGAACACGTATTTAACTAGCAATAATAATTCGGTGACCATCCCTTTTTATTGTGAATCACAGTATAAATGTACGTACATGCATGTACGCGCACTCCTATGATCAAACACACGTCCTACTCCACTATGAGCACTTTCGAAATACTAACCCGGTAGATTTCAAGATTCATAAGTAATCATATGTGCCCCGTTATTGACAGACACGGTCGGTCACCTACCACATATATGAGCACTTCTAAAATACTAAGTAGGTAGATTTTAATATTTATGAGTCATCACATGCGCCCCACTGTCGATATACACGGTCATCTGCTACGTGAAGAATAGCGAGCATGGTTAAATCATCAAATACTAGAATAAATTCAGAAAAATAAGAGCCTAACCCCAAGACAAAAATCTAAACAAATAATATACACTCAATTCTCATATTTTGAAATTCTTCGATCGGCCCCCTTATGCATAATTTCTGACTCCGCCACTATGTCTCATTTATATGTATGTAGGTGTATTATGGAGCTATTTTAGGGTAACTTTTTTCAAATCCAATAGTTAATATCGCTGGTGATGATTAGAGTCTGTATACTAAATTGATGGATGCATATTTCCTAGCGCATCACTTATCAATAGAGCTAGATGTATTTTCTGTACTATGATTACATTTATGCCATTTTCATTTATTATTGTATTTGGTGATCAAGAAGCAGATGATTTATTATACAGTATATCAACCATGCATATTAAGGCTCCTTAGTTAACATTGCATTTAGTACCTTACGAATAAAAAACAATGCATTTAGTAAAAATCTATTTTTTTTGTCACAAGTTGCTAAATTTATTACTGCTCAGACAGGAAGGCTTTGGAGCCTACGTTCATGACGATGTGTACTAGATTGCCTAGGAGATATGCTGATATTTTAAAGGAGTTAGCAATCTTTATATATGTTTCCGCTGCCCTTTTGTCCCATAAAACAAGTTCCTTTTTATTTTAAGCGATTGTGCTTGAGCACATAATTCATTAAGAGAAGATAAAACAAAGTTACTTTATTTTATCTTAAATCAAACAATCTTAAATTTGATCAAATTTACATAGAACTGAAAAGTACACTATCTATGATACCAACCATGAAATATACTTTCATTGTACTGGAGTCATAAATGCTGACACCCTTTTGTAACAAAATCGCTCAAATTTAAGATGCTTTGATTGAAGATAAACCATAATAAAAACGTTCTTCATCTCCATTTCAAAGAAAAACGGGTGATTAATTAACTGTTCATACTTTGCATATTAAATGTATACTCACTTCTGGTTGTAGATGGCTTCGATCACCACCCACAAGTCCAATGGAGACAAAGCAGGAGAGTCTCCGAAAATTCTTTGCGAGATGCTACAATATCTGGGGCACCAAGAGCGCCCCTTGTACCAGGGCTTCAAGGAGGTGGTGAATGACCGCGAGGAGTGGCGCGTTGAAGTGCTCATCCACACCACCAAGAAGCCCAATAAGCCTTTGATCATCGAAGCAGCTTGTAGAAGGGCCACCTTTTCCGCTGGGATCCGCGATGCTGCATGCCAGGCCATGTACCGCCTCCGTGACATGTACGCCGACGACTTGTCTACTACGCCTTATCGCTACTTTCCACGTCGCCGCATCTGCAACACCGACAAGGAAATCCTCCATTATTACAAGAAGCATCATCATCATCAGCATGACCGTTTGTTGAACCAGCAGATCAGATTAACCGAGGCCCTCGTTGCGGTTTGCGATAACGCTTTCGATGAGCTTAGAGAGGCCCGGTGCAAGATACGGGAGCTTGAGGAAGAGTTGAGGAAGCAGGCTCCACGGCACAAGCACAAGGCTATCATTGCATCATCACTGCCACCACACCGCCGTGTCATTGTTGGCGACAAAAAACCCTACCAGAGTCCAGGGCATAAGGCCAGCATCGGCACCGGCACCGGCACCAGCAGCACGCAAACGCACCAGTGTCGTCGTCGGCAACACTAACTGTCGGTGCAGAAAGTGAACAACACGTAAATATTTATAGTTTTGCCGTACGTTGTGATCGGATGTGACCTAGCACTCAATGACACAGGGTTTATACTGGTTCAGGCAACGTGCCCTACGTCCAGTTTGAATCGGTCGGTGACTTTATTCCTGAGCCTAGGTACTCGAAGTTTGCAGTGGGGTTACAAACAAGAAGGAGAAAGATGGGGGGTACAAGAGGTCCGGTCGGACTCTAGTCTAAAGAACCGAGAGGGACAGGAGCTCCGCTATGTGCTAAGAGTTCGAACGTGTGCTCGAGGTCTGAACCTGGTGGTTCTGCTATGGTGTGTTGAATCGATGTAAGTGAACTGATCTCCTTTTGGGAGAAAGCGCATCCCCTTTTATAGATGAAGGGGATGGCCTTATAAGAGAGAGAGAGAGTACGTGTGCTAAGTCTTGTTGCCCACGCTGTCGGGTACAAGATGATTGTAGGCGCCCATAATACTGTTAATGTCAGATGCATGTGGGAGGTTGCGTCTGTAACACCCCAGGTGTTTGGCTTCCACATTTGCACTTGCATTTCATAAACATGAGCATCATTCATCCTTTCATGAGCTTAGATTGTTTGGAACATGCTTTTGAAACATTGTAACATATTTTTATATTCCATGTGTGTTTGTTTTATGAAATGGATAGTGTGCAACACTCAAGTGCAACATGTGCAACTCACTCTTGAAACATGTCATATACGTTAGTGAAACATGGTTAGTTAGTACTATGCAACAAACTCATGAAACATGGCTTTGAAACAAAAGTAGCAATTCACTTGTTTTTCCTTGTTTCAATGCATGTGATGCTTGACTTTGGTGTGATCAATGTGTGGTGTGGTTAATTATCCCCTAAAACACCTTAACTACACTTAGGGTACATAGTGGAGCACTGTTCATGTTAACTAAATTGACTAATTATGCCCCTAAGTGAGGTTTGACCAAATTGGAAACCCTAGAACCAATTTGTTTGACCTTTTAAAAAGTGTTACTTAGAAGCTTTGCATGACAATGCGCCTTTTGGCAAAGTTGTAGATACTAAGTGAGGTTTGACCAAATTGGAAACCCTAGAACCAATTTGTTTGACCTTTTAAAAAGTGTTACTTAGAAGCTTTGCATGACAATGCACCTTTTGGCAAAGTTGTAGATAATTTTATACGGAACAAAAATTGTAAAGGTGCCAAGCTATGAAAATGTGTAGAACATGCTCAAAATTGGATCACAACATGAAATTTACCCCTAATTTCAGAGACAATTTTTCTAAGTGTTAACTCTGAAAAACAGTTTCATGTACTCAACTTGTCAGCCCTGTAGCTTCCAAACCAAGCCGAACCAGCTCGAGCTCCAATTGGCAAAGTTGAAGATCTCACTTGGTACTACAACTTTGTCAACTACACCTTAACCTGGATCATCATGGATTAGGAGATAATGAATGATGAACTCGCCCTATCAGTTCCCCTAATGGAGTTCAAATCTGAAAAATTCAGATTCACCTGAGCCGACCGGCGTTAGGGCATGCTCGACGTGTGGACGCCACGCGCTGGCCTCCATCTGACCTGGATGCTCACTGTTGGGCCTCAAGTATACGTCGCGCTCACCCTGGCTATGCCCCTGCTCCATTTGCTCCGCCCACGCGTGCCTGAGCCACTGAGAAAGCCACCGCCGTCGCCATTTGCTGCGCCGAGCTTGCGCAAGCTCGCCGCTGCACCACAACCAACACCATCCCACCCATAGCTCCGCTAGCACCTCACGGACCTCGTCGACGTTCTCACTGAGCCAGTCGAGCCCTAGGTGAGCGACATTGCCGACTCCGCCCCGGCCAAATCTCACCGGAGCGCTCGCGGTCCGTCGTGGCCATCACATCACGACACCTTTCCTCCTTCCCTAGCTCTTGTCTCATCTTCTCCATCACATGTAGATGCTCAGGTGAAGACGCTACCGACAATGCCGGTCCGGCCGAGCCGGAACACGACCGCACACCGTCGCGCCATGGCCGCCGCCGGTGACCTCACACAGCCACACTCGACCACTTCACCGCAGCTAGTAGCGGTAGCGTAGGGAGGTCCGCCATGGTCCTAGGAAGCCTATGCGTGCCTTAGCCGGGCATCTAGAGCTGGGGTTCATTGGAGCGCCGCTGTGCGCCATGGCTGAGCCACCGTCGCCATGGCCGACGCACCTAGAGGCCGGTAGAGTTTAGGTTTAGGAGGTCACTCGATGCGGGAGATCGAGGCGGACACGGTGGTACCCTCCTCGTCGCCGGCGACCTCACCGTCGTCAAGATTCCTCGCAGTCAACGGTGTCCCCTGCTCTACTGTCTCTGTCCGGTGGGGTCTGTTGACTCCCTGGGTCCCGCCTGTCAGTGGCTTGAAGTAAGGTTTAGGTGATTTAAATCCAGATTTTGAGTGCTGTTTTGTAAAAATTCATATCTCTAGTTTGGTGAATCCAAATTGGGTGGTTCTAATTTGTTTAGGATATTGGTGAAGTGTAGTATTTAGGAAAAATATAACATGAACACCTGTAGTAAAGTTTCTGGAAGAATTAAATTGCAACTTAAAATGTGTTTTTAAATGAATGCAAACTTGTTTAACTCATATCTAGAGTTCCAGTGCTCCAAAAATTATGAAATTTATATGGTGAGTTGTTCTTGATGAGTAGAAGCTCTGGTAAAAATTTGAGAGTCAGTTCATGAATAGTTTTTGAGTTATGAATTTCCCTTTTATAATTAGGTGATCCTTGTATGAATTTTAATAATTAATATATGAATCCAATGCTCATAAAATTTATTGGAGGTTGTCCTGGTACCTTAAAGATGCTAAGAAAAATATTGCTTCTGTTATTTGACACTTTTCAATAGGGTTTCTAATTTAGGCCAAAATCAGCCTTGCTGCCTTGTTATTTTTGTGTAGGATGTTTCTATTGGTACCTTTGGGTGAAAATTTTACAGTAGCCTACTTGGAGCATGTAGTATGAACTGTAATTTTTGTAGATTAAACTGTGTAGTTTTCATATATGTTCATTATTCCACTTAAATAACTAAATAAATTAAGAAAGGCATTAAAAGAAATGAATTGGTGGTGAACACCTTACTTTCTGGTGATCTTATATCATGTGTGAATTTGTGATGCACTTGGTTTGGTCAGAAATCATGTTTGGCATATAAGTAAATATTTAATTTTAGCATTTTTATAATTCTGGACAGTTTATAGCATTTGGTGAATTAGGCTTTGATAATGGTGTTTGCTGGGAATCATGTGAATACAAAAGTTGTAGTTAACTTACTAAACTAGCTTGTGTTAAAATTTGGTGGCCTTTGACGAAGTAGTTTAGGAGATATGGCTGTTCTCAGTTTGAGTCCAGTTTTGGCTGCTCTCTGTCTTGTGAGGACATATTTCTGTTGTTAAGTGATTTTGACCTGGTGAAAGTTGGAATCATGCCTTAAGGTATAAAAATGAATTTTAGGAAATTTCATAACCTTTCCAAATTGTCTTGTTGCATGCCAATGGGATTGGTAAATCTCCAGTTATGGTCAGTTTACTATGCTGCTGTATAGTCCCAGTTTTACTGAAATATGAATGCTTGTGTGAATGCTTTGTAGCATTGTTCTTGTTGATTGTTTAGGTGCTAGGCTAACTTGAGAAAATGCTTAGGTGCAGGTGCTAGGTCCTTAACTGAAGATGACCAATTATATATTAGGTTGTCTAAACTTGGTAAGTGAAAGTGATTTGAATAGAGCTTTAGTTGGAATATGTGTACTGTAGTAAGCATGTACATTCCTCGAGCATCCCTAACTTCGTTCATGTGCATCCATGATATTTATCTTACGCATACATGCAATAGGTGTGCCGGAGGGAGTGACACTTCTGGAGTTCGAGGGAGCGAGCCAAGAGGAGGAGCAACCGGAGGAGCCTGAGGTTCAGGCAGCCGCCGAAGTAGCCGCCGAGGAGGAGTTGCCCGAGTGCCCTGATCACCGCCCATCCTCTTTTCTGAAAGGCAAGCCCCGGTGCATGCTAATCCCCTATTTTATAAATATCATTTGAGTCAATTTTACATGTTTGATGCCTTAAGTTGTAGGAGTTGTGTGAAAACACTTGATGCATTATATATCTATCCTTGTTCAGATATCGCACTTGAATCCTATTTAAGTTCAGGAACAGGTTAAATACTTAGCCATGCTTAGTGCGGTAGAAGTCGGGTGATTTCCTGTCACCTGCGAGCTTTAGGATGAGGTGGGTCACGGTTGACTATATTTTCTATCGTAGAAAAGAACCATATTAATAATGAATTGAGACCGGGTGGAGACTTGTGTAGGGTTGGACATAGTGACTCCGTCTGTGTCGTTTAAGGACCGATACGCTGTACGTCCTCATGTCATGTTGAACGTAGCCTAACACTTAGCTGGCCGGATAAGTTGTTTCGACCACGAAGCCTAGTAGCTCGACTCAGGCCGAGAACCGGGGGGTTATAGTGCGCATTCTGGAGGTAGTAAGGATGTGCTTGGGGACATTGGCATGAGTCCAAGGGGTCAGGTGCTTAAAATTCCTGCACTTCCTGGCAGAGTGTCGCCCTTGAGAATGCGGCGCTGTCCGGACCCGCGACTCCTAAGTTGTACCAAAGGTGACTTGATTGCGACCCAACGGGGGAAGCAAGGTTTGTGTTAGGAATACCCTTTAGCTGGATAGGAATCGATTCGAGTCACCGTCTCTCCCGGATAGTGAGAACTTGACTGAGCAGCGGCAACGTAGATTCACTTAATTTAACGATATGGTTAAATGGATGATGATGATAATGTTGCCACAGTTTATACCTGCTATGGTTAATAATGTTTGCATCTTAATCAAGTGATTGCTTAGTACAGGTGCTAATATAGATGACAGGTTAATGCCTTAAAGTCACTGCTAGCTCAGGTTAAAAGTTGATCATTATTACTTATGCTTTTTTGCAAAAAGAAAGTGTCAGCCAGATCCACTAAATTAA